AAAAAAAAAAAGCGATACGATTTCCTCAATTCTTTATTTAAAAAAAGAAAAGAAAAGAAGAATTAAGGAAAAGAGATTATAAGTAGATAGGATAGGATTTAAACCGCGCACCCCAAAGTAAAATTTTTCTTTGCAACATATTAAATAGCCACTTAACTTAGGACTTCTCGACTTCTTCAATTCATTGTTAATACCTAAAGTAAAAGAGAGGAAACTCCAAAATTTTAGCAATCTATAGGCGTAGTAAATACATAAATTATTTATAAAAATATTATTAACAGTAATTATAAATAGGGATTAGTATTTATTTGTTTTATTTATTAAAAATTAAAAGAATTATTTTAAAATTATATTATTTTAATAAAATATTATAAAATATTATAATTTATGTTTTAAAAATATAAAATTTAAGTTTTTTAATAAAAATTTATTAAAATAACATAATTTTTAAATAATTTATTTTAATTTTTTAAAAATAAAACGGATAAATATTATTTTACTATTATTATTGGTTGAACTTTAATCCCAATTTGATCGATGAACCTTTAACTCTTTCACCAATTTGGTCCTTAATCTTTATTTGAATCTAAAATACTCCTTAAACTTTCAATTTTGAATAGTGTAGAAGATGCAAAATAAACCCCTAAACTTACAACGTTGTGGCATATATGCCCCCATACTCTGTTTGGTAGCAAATCATCCTGCAAATCAGTCCCTTAGATCAACGGAATTCATTAAGGCCATGTTTGGTTACAAACTTTCACCAGGAAGCGAAGCCAAAAAGGGTTTGCTTAACTAAACTTTTCAAGAAAAATGATAGTATTGCATGTAATCAATTATTTTTGTTTGATAATTGATTATATTGTCCATTTTTGCTCACTCTCCTCAAGAAATTACCTTTCAGGTTTTTTTTTTTTTTTTTCCATAACCACATTCTGGATAATGTAATTAATTAGTTTCCATTATAATCAATTACAACATAAAAAAATAGTTTTATTTCATTATTATTTTTTGTGCTGAGAGTACCGAGCCAAGCCAATCAAAATTTGTTCGGCTTCCCATGAATGTTTTTCTTAAGAAAAATAAAAGAAATGGAGAAAACCATTTCTCCATTTCTTAGGAATTTAATCTTATTAAAGAAAGAATAAAAAATATAATGAATTCCAGTGCTCTTAATGAAC